CCATTTGGACCAGTTGCCTAAGGCTTGATGGTACTGATCTCATTATCTAACTTCTGCTGTAAAATTATACTCAGCAAAACTTTCCCTCTCATTAAAAAGTGAAATGCTGCATCCCAGTTTCTCTTCTTCTTGCATAATACATTTTCAAAAGCACATGGGTATTTCTACATAAGAGAATGGACTGACAATCTATGACTGGATTAGTTTTTCATGACATTCAAATTACAAATCCATACTCAGCTATATTTTTCCCAACAGGGATTTTTAGTTTTGGAAAATAAATTAATAAAATCAAATAAAATATAAGACTTAAGTATTTGTACTTCAATACCTAAAACATAACTCGTGCACAGATATGGGCTATCAAAAGTATGATTTGGCAAACATTTTCCAAACTTTACCTCTTTCACACTATCTGCACTCTTGTATTCACATACAAGTATATAGTATGAATATATAAATGTAGTATTCCAAGAAACTGAAGATAACTTTTAAGATGAATATAGGATAAAATCCCTCTCTAGCAGGTTGGGCAGGTTTTGTCTTAGGATATATCACTCTGATTATTGTGCAATCCGATCATGGTTGAGATCTCTTCACCTCTGTGGCTTTGCTTCCTCAGTCTGACACCTTTGCACCTCAAAGTGAAAGGTCCCTTCCCAGATATTCTTCCCGCATCTGGGAAGAATGGGGATAAATATCCTCGTATTAGCTTTTATCATATCTTTGAATTTCTTCTTCTTTCCTCCACTGATGACACTACCTTGACAAGCCTGGGTGAACAGAATCTTCTTTGGCAGATTGGAATCTAAGCTCTGGATGGCATGACTAGTCCAATGGAGCTGGTGGTGATTAGAACTTCAATTACTGTGAGGCTGCTTGAGAGAGAACACTTATGTTGCTGCATCTGCCCAGCAGTACCTGGAGAAAACCCACATAAACATGGCTAGAACATACAAATGACATGCAGATAGCAACCCTGCTCCAGAACTGAGGCCAGGGCCCCGGTGTTCAATTCTGTGAGGCAGCAATTCTAACCACAGCCAGTTACACCTGCAGTGTTACACCTGCTGTTCTATGACATCTTCTGGCCCTATAATCTAACCACACTAGCACAAAACCTTGATAAGCTACAGAAAGAAAACCTGGTTTCTGCAAAAAAGGAAAACAAATCCAACATCGGACTAAATCTTCCTCTTTAAACCAGGGATGACCATAAATGAAAAAGAATCTGTTTCCCTTTTCTAAATGTGCACCACTAAAATAGGAGAGACAATTTCTACAACATAGGAATAATTGTTTTCAATAAATAAGGCAGCAAGCTCTCTTAAAATAATGCTTAAGCTCCTGTTGTCTTTAGATTTCAGATTCTGGACAGAATTTGGTTTGTATGACTGATTGTAAAAATAAATTTAATGATAATAAATTTGATGATTTGATGACGAAATACATTTGATGATGATAACAATGATTCGTCTATTCCGCCTTCCTTCTTCTTCTTCCTTTTATTTTCTTCTTTTCCTCTCTTTTCAGTAACTTTATTTTTCTTACAGTATGCTCCGTTTCATGGAGAATGGCTTAATGACCTATGTGGAATTGGCCGGTCACTATTGAACATCCATGTGTCCTTTGTCTTACCACTTTATCAATACAGGGTTGTGGGGCAGCCAGAGCCTTTTCCGTCAAGCAAGTTTCCTAAATTGATGTGAATGATTTCCAGATTTAAAATTGTGCATTATTCCAGTTAGATTCTGTTTCATACATGGCTTTTATATTTATTGGATACTGTATCTTATGAGCAAAACATGCATTGTATGTTATGCACTAATGATAATTTTTATTAAATAAAAAGGAATACTTGTTTTAGATGTATATACACACTACATAAACACACTTTTGTGCAGAAATATTAACATTTTGCTCTGTTCAGTCATTTTTTTCCTTCACAATTCAATGGTGATCTTTAATTTGAAAGATCTGAAATTTAACTAATTTAGATTCAAATCAATTAAACACAGCTTTTGATGTGTTAACATGACTTGTACTTTACAAGTCGGTATAATCATTATTTATTACTTCATGTGATTTATCTATTCGACATTATTTCTGTATGTTCTTTTACCATAATCACCATTTTAACTTTTTGATTTTTGTTGATTTATGTTGTGGGAGGCAAGGTGTTGCAATGGTTAGCATTGCTGCCTCATAGCGTTAGGGCCCTGCGTTCAATACCAGACCTTGAGTGCTATCTGTGTGGAGTCTGTATGTTCTCCCCATGTTTGCATGGGTTTACCTTTACGGTTCAAAGAATGGTAGGTTAACTGGCTGCTAATAAAAGTGACCCTGCTGTGAGTGTCTGTGTGTGCACTGAGAAGGACTGGCATCCCATCCAGGGTGTGTACGGCCTTACACCCATTGTTTTATGGGATAGGTTCCAGTTCCCCAGCAACATGGTATTAGATAAAGTGGTTAAATGGATGGATGGGTGGATTTATGTTGTCTGATCATTTAAGCCAAAATCAAGCTGCGTGAGTACCATCTGTGCAAATATTTAATACAACATTATATTATGGCACATCAATGAAAGGATTTGGCAAGACTAAACCACATGTCAACATTGTTATTTGTTTAATAGAGCTCATTGTCAAGAGGATATAGTATTTTTTTCTGTTCTTACCTTATACTGACATCTGATGGACATTTATTTTATCTGAATACTTTCATTTGACAGAGAAACATAAAATTTGTATATGATTTGTATCTCCATTAATTTCCGTGTGAATTAAATTGACAAAGATTTGGAATGTATGGGATGACGTCCCATATTTTTGGAAAACCCATATCTTTTTCCATCAGACTCAGATGTATATGGGATGTCTTCATCTCTTACTGACAAGTTAAGATGAATGGTTTAATCTCAAATACAAAGTGGAGGTTTGCAAGCTTACAAATCTAATAATAGCTTGTCTGAACTGTGTAGAAAATAAAATTCAAGGAACTGACTTGATCCCTCACAACTTAATATGAGACCCATATTTGCCAATATCAACTCCATTATAAACAGGATATATACTGATGGAAAAAAGAAATGCTACACCTCCTCCTCCACACTCTGGCCCTCCCGTCTGCATGGAACAGGCTGAAGAGTGACTCATCCATGAAGAGAACCTGATGCCACTGCTGACGAGACCATTGCAGCCTCTGTCTGGCCCAAGCCATTCAAGTGTGACGTCTAGGAGGTGTGAGCAGATGTGGGCATTGTGTCTGCTGGCAGTTTCAGCAGCTGTACAGGTGGCAGATCTCAAACAATCTCCCAGATGGACCAGTCTGATGTGTCGGTCCTGCTCTGGTGTAGTCACTCAAAGGCAACTGGATCTGTCCTGCCGGTCTGCTGAAACCTTCTCTGGAGTTGGGACATAGCGGAGTGGCTTACTCCATAGCGTCTGGCAACGCTGGCACATGACATGCCTGCCTGCAGCATGCCAATGGCGCTCTCCCTTGCTTCTGATGACATTCAAGGCATCATCAAGGTGGA